ATTTTTCAATTTTGGAATTTTCTACAAGTCTCTGGTAACTTTTGCACTCAAGTGTTTTTCTCAAACGCGCGTAGACATACACGCACACATGCACGTGTATGTATGTATGTAATATATGCTTGTATGGCTATGAAGTTTTCGTATGCATTTGATGACCTAAGCGCATGTATTGTTTTTGTCCAGTTGTTTAATTTCCTTTTTGACTCACATACATATCAAAAAAAATATCGAATGCTATCGTTAAAATAATAAATCACTTTAATAGAAAACTCAGCCTTGCTTTAGTAGGCACGTGTGAATTATGCACTGCCACTGCAACTCTAATATGTAGCTGCCAATCAGCAAAATGTTTGTATGTTATACCAACAGCCTTATGCATATTTTNGGCGAATATCATAAAAAAGGCAAAAAAAGGCAACTTCAGATGTGTATATTTGGAATCAGGGAAAGCTAAAACGTGGTCACTCTAGAAGGCAGCCGCCTCGTCGCCTATAGGGCCCGAGCCCTTAATAGCGATTNTTGGCTTTTGTAGGGCTATGACGAAGTAAACATAAACTTCTAGAAATGGTTTCTCCCTTCGATATTTCCTTATTGTCACAAAACATAGCAAAAGTTTTTAATATGACATTCGCTTGTAGTCAATAAATTAAAAACAAGTACCAGCACTAGTTTAAAATATCAATAATATCTGACNACTACTGTGAGGTTACAACCTTACAAGGTATAGGGCAATAATAAACCTCCCCAAAGAGAGTGTAAGGATATTGTCAAGTTTTCTGACGGGTCTCTTTAGACTGAAAAGTCACCTGCATAAGCTAGGTATTTGGTCGACCGACCAATGTCGTTTCTGCAATGTTACTGAGAAGACTCCTCTGCATCTGTTTCGCGAGTGCGAGGCAGTTGAGAATAGACGGGATGGGCACCTAGGCCAACTCTGGCCAAGTGAAGAATTCATACGATCGCTAATACCTGGAGATCTCCTCCAAAATCTGGGTAAGTGGTTGAGGGCACAATAGATCCTTTGGTCGGAGTGCATACCTCTACTTCAATGTATATATCTATCTAAGGCAGGCACAAGAACTTCTTGGAACTTATAACCCCAAAAGGTCTAGAGAACTAATAACTCTTCCAAAGACTAACCTGAGATTTAACGAGGGATGCTAATGGATCACTGCAGAGTGCGGGCCCATATGCAAACCCTGTGGGTTTGTGCAAACCCTGTGGGTTTGTGCAAACGACTTGTGTCGGTATTGCTATTTGGTACCAGAAACCGCACTGCGTATCCTCTTAGAATGCGATGCCTTTTCAAGAAGAAGAATAACACACCTGGAAACGATGTAGCCAGAGGTTAAGTATATTCACTCTCTACCGCACTCAAAACTGCTGGGATTCTTCAGAGCACTATGGCTGGACGATGTGTTATGATGAGCTCTAAGGTCGCAGTACACATCCTCTAAATCTAAACGAGTGGCCCACTATGATATATATAAAAGCAGGATATTTGTTTGACACTTTAGGGAACAGAAACTGCAATAAAATACGCATAACTGTTTAATAAGTTTTGCTTAAAATCTTTTATACATAGTGAAAAAAAATACATTCAAGTCCGCTTACAACAATACCCCGAAAACATATTAACTATACATTTTCTTTTCTACATTTCAGAGTCCAACTCCACCACAATACGTATATTGGCAGAAAAACGATCGCCTTATAAACTATTACGATTCGAGGCGTGACATTTCAATTGAAACTACACCTGGACCGCGAACACAAAGTCGTCTCATCATACGGGAGCCGCAAATTTCTGATTCGGGCAATTATACGTGTTCGGCCAGTAATACAGAGCCAGCGAGCATTTACGTTTTCGTGTCGAAAGGTGAGTGAAAATATATGCAAAAAGATTTAGTTGTACTTTATTTTAATGCTCAAGCGAAATTTGCAAATGTGCCAACTAAAGTGGGGATTGTATTTAAAATTGCACATTGTACAGTTATAATTAAGGCAACTTCGGTTTTATACAGTATTTCAAATTGTTTTTGTTTTTTTTTTTTTTTTGCGCACAAAATATTTGTCAGCTTACGATTTTACATTTTGTGGAAGCTATTCATTAAAAGTCAATTACGTTTGAAAAGAATAACTAAACGTGCTAATGTGGGCAACAGCTGCTCTCAATCAAGTGACCCCAGCCTGCTTCCACATGCAAACTACCCACTTGCCATCAAATTTTGCATCGAATTTTTTCTCATTTACTCGGCTTGGTTCTCTTTGCCTTTTTTTTGTCAGATTTGTCAGATTTGCCATAGTTGCAATTTTTGCATTTAGATGAAATTTTATGCAAATATACTCCGCAAGCAATATGCTTGCAATTTTGATTGTTGCCAAATAGTTAGGAAATAAAAAACGGGAAATAATTCACTTTTCACAGATTTGCATCCGGATTTTCATTTGCAATTTGCATTTATATTTACTGCACGTACTATTTTTTGATATTTTTTGCTAATGTAACTTTGTAACTTTGTTTTTTAAATTGTTTTTTTTTTCTTGCAGGTGATAATATGGCGGCTATATCACGAAAAACTTCCTCGGCCGATCGGATTGCAGCGATATTTAAATATCTCTTGGCCCCGTGTGTGCTGGTGAATACGCTGGGTATAAGGTGAGTGGAAAACTAAAAAGCCTTTTCTGAAAGAAATACACATTTGCTTATAGGATTAGAATTTAATTTTATATTTACATACCTATAAGTCAGGTTATAGAAAAAGCTATAGTTTTTTTTTTAGAAATTGGGAGCCTTCAGCAACATTTCTACGGGGGTATTTTTAGAAGGGCCTAATTCCTTTGGCGTAAGCCCTGGCTTAGCCCATTTAATTGTTCATCTTTTAAATTGCGCGATGTTAAAAGAATAGCAAATGAATCTACCATCTACTTTAACCCTACAACTAGCGTTGTAGTCTGACAGACCATTTTTGAAAAAATTCACCAAAAATGGGTTCCACAACATTTTTCGCCAAACTGTCTCATGACAGCAGTTTTTTTATTATTTGTGCACGTTTCCAGGTTGTGGTCTGTCAGACCGAGATAAATTAATCTAATACTATTCATAATATGGACCTTATTTTGCCCATTTAGCCTACATCTCCTTCGGTAGCATTCCATGGTAATTGTCTGCATATGCACCGTCTGCCTTAAATCGGCTGGTTGTCATATGAAATGTAAGTCTCCTGTTTGTTATTCACATTAAAGAAAGATACGTTACACATATAAACTATACATCGTCCGTGTAGTCGCCGGGCACTAGCAAGACGCGTTGGACGTCTCTACAGACAAGCTAAAACACGGTACTCGGGACCACTACCGGATGGCTTCTGAAGTCGCCACAACCCCAGCTATGTAACGAGGCTCAGAAAGCACAAAACTATGCTTTGCGGACAGTTCTTAGTAGGGTGCCACAGACGTGGGTACCCGAACAGACGCCTGCTTGCACGTCAATAGGTATATATATGAGCTAGCGGACGAATCACAGAGGTTCGTAGAACAACCTCTGGATCCGACACCGTACCGATAGGTTACTAACGGCATTAAGGAGTCGGTCTCTACTTAAACCAACTTCCGATCTTTGAATGATGATTGGGAATACAGCCATCTGACGTTGGCGAGACAGAGCTTCATCTGTCTCGCGAGACTCGAACCAACATAGGCACACTTCGCTCTGTCTACTGCAGCAGGATAAACTTCTACCTGAGTAGGATAAAAGCAGCAGTACCCAATGTATTCCCGACATGCCGAGAGTCAACTCACGGCTCGAGATATCTCATCGCATGCCGCCTAAGCCCAACTCAACTAACGCCCTTCTCTCTAAGGACCAATCCAGTTAGAGTGGCACACTTCCTGGATCTACAGTTAGATGATCTGACGACAAATATTGAAGGTTCAGCCGATTTAGGCAAGGCGAAGTCGCCACTAAAACAACAAAAACACATACATTGCTAATGAAATACCGACGGGTTCCAAAAACTAAGGATTTATATGAANCTGACGACAAATATTGAAGGTTCAGCCGATTTAGGCAAGGCGAAGTCGCCACTAAAACAACAAAAACACATGCATTGCTAATGAAATACCGACGGGTTCCAAAAACTAAGGATTTATATGAATTTAATGCTCTTTGGATTGACATACAAATTTAATAAATTTACCAGTAATTCATTTATGCAACAAATCTTCATTGTTGTTTCTATATTTAATNATTTAATGCTCTTTGGATTGACATACAAATTTAATAAATTTACCAGTAATTCATTTATGCAACAAATCTTCATTGTTGTTTCTATATTTAATAAACACTGTAACACTTTTGGTGTATCCAATAACTTTGCTTGGGTAGTCCCACTTATAAAATACTTTGTGGTCTGTCAGACCACCACATATGGTTAAGCGTATTTCAAGTAACTAGTCGGAGGGTTAAGGAGTACCAAAATATATAAAAAAATTGCAAGTATTTGACTCAAGAAAAGCAGCGTTGGTCATAACGATTTGGGCGCACATGTGGACACTTAGTTATCAGTACGATTTGTATCAATCCTTGAAATTTTATTGGGATTATATATATGTAAATTGCGAGCCAAATTACTCGGGGAAAATCTAGTGAAGCGTGTTGAGATGATTCCACTACTAAATTTAACAAGCAGCTATGCTAGTAATGAACAGAAAGTCTCAAACCTTGAATTGCAAGCGGACACTGATCTGACAGAACCCCTACCAGAAAACGAAGCTTTGACTTTGCAAACAAAATGGACTTTTTCAACCCCCCGGGTTCACATTTACCTAGAAAAACTCTGCGACTGAATTTACATGGCGGCTGCAGTATACGTCGCAGTCCCCCTTGCCCCGTTCAGCTCTTTTTCTTTTTGATGGCGTTGATGTCAGCCTTATTCGTCCTGAAAACATCAACAAGCCGCGATGTCGTCCGCAAAACCAATTACCTCGGTCGCCTCGGGCATTTTAAGGCGAAAAACTCCGTCGCACATTAAGTTCCAAAGCAAATGAACCAGCACAGAGCGTGCGGAAACGCCGTTTGAGATTTTTCGACTTTTCACACCTGGCGAGGTTTCGTACTCTAGCCAGCGGTCATCGAAGTAGCGTCGTATGGGCATTCTAAGGTACAAATGAGGCCTGGCGCACCAGAGCACAGTGGTTCAAAATTAAAACTTCGGTTCACTGTAAGAATCAACGCGACCTCTTAGCCACTTTCAAATTGCACTTTGTTTTACTTACTTAAATTTAGTGATCCATAAAACTGCATACCCCACCTTTTTCTAGAAACTCAACAATTTGTTTTTAATTTTGGTCAAAATTTTGTATAAAAATTTCAAATTTTTTTTTTGTGATTTTTTTTTTTTTTT